AATCCAAGTCAATGAGTATAGAGATCAAATATCACCAATCATTCAAGTATAACAAACCAATGTTCATCAATAACTCAACTAGTAAAACATCTTAATATATTATCCTAGATCAATATACATATAGAACTATCACCATCACACAACATACAACATCCAATAGATCCAACCATTCTATTCATATTCCCTTTTCAACTAATGAAACACAAGGCTTTTCAAAACAACCTACGCCTAATGTCACACAACCTGCACCCAATGCCATTAAGGTTGGGAGCTCTTTGCCTCACCCACACTCGATGCCACTAAACTCACACCCAATGTGGTTGCAGTAGGGAATCCCTAGGACCTCCCACCTGACCTGAAAACATCAACATCCAACCCCATTTCAAGTAGAGAGTTTCTACTTGACTCATAACCAGCGTCACTTTATTGGTGTTTGATGTTGCCTAGGCAAAGAACCTCTACCTTGATCACGCTTGGTGCCACCCATCTAGGGTCCAAAGTCACCAAGTTAGAGACTTTCTAGTGTTCTCACGTCCAACGCTAATCAAACAACACCCAACACATTCCCAACATGAGACAAGTCTCTCTTCTCGTGTCTGGTGCCATTGATCATGCATCCAACGTGAATTGAGACAAAGGCCTATGGTTGGAACTATCCCTAAGTATGTATTGGAAATGGCACATTATTTGGAGGGTAGTTGACAGACTAATTTCATATAAGCTTAGTTATGCATGCTAAAGTCTTGGTAAGCTCACATCATAGTTGTTCTATATCAGACAGAAATATTGGACTTTCCTAGTCTAATTGGAGAGGTCTAAGAAATCATGTTGCGTTGTGGATTGATAACCAAATTTGCTATTGATCTAACAAGCCCAAAAAGATCGTGTTATTAAGTTGGTTTGATAGGGTCAAGCTACTTAGACTACTCACCACGTTGTAAGAGCTCTCTTAGTTGAAACGTGTTACGATGCATCATATTATTGTGTTGATATATTGTTAATTTGACTTGTGTTGAAAGTTGATATTGTTGTTATATTATGATATATGTAGGGGTGGGTATATGGACCTGAGTCCGCGGACCGGTCCGTAAGTCCGCGGACTTCACGGATAACGGACCCATTTTTTTTAATCCGTATAATCATACGGACTTTTTAGGTCCGGCCCGTTTAGGGTATATGGACTTGAGTCCGCGGACCGGTCCGTAAGTCCGCGGACTTCACGGATAACGGACCCATTTTTTTTAATCCGTATAATCATACGGACTTTTTAGGTCCGGCCCGTTTAGTCCGCGGATTTTGCGGATTTAATCCGCGAGCCCGCGGATTACCCGTTTAAATGTGGACTCAAATTTTATTATTGAAGATGCTTGATTATATTTGATAGATGTAATTGGACTTACAAATATTTTATGTTTGTTTTTAAGATATTAATTAAGACTTTGATGTTTTAAGGTATTTAGACTTTGATGTACTTGGACTTACAAATGTTTTATATTTGTTTGGTTGTGTATTAAGACTTTTAAAGTTTTAAGGTAGTAAGGCTTTAATATTTGATTAATAGTTGGTATGCTTGGACTTTAAATTTTAAAGGCATTGAGACTTAAATATTTCTATTAGAAATTTAAAATGTGTAAACTTTGTTATTTAAGACTTTGATTTATTATTTACAATGTTTGATGTTATTATTAGAAGTATATTTATATCATTTTATATGTTTTTTTTTCCTCATGTTTTCATAGGTTAAATAAAGGAAAAGAAATTTAAAATCTGAGTTAATATTCATTTAAACAATTTATATTTAATTGGGCCCGCTGACTTATCCGTTTATCCGCGGGCTTCACGGGCCGGATACGGACTTGAAGATTTAAGTCCATTTATTTCGCGGACCGAATTTATCCGGCCCGTTAAAATGCGGATTTCGCGGACCGGGCCTTAAACGGGCCGGACCGGTCCGCATACCCACCCCTAGATATATGTGTTGTTATGTTGTGAAGATGTTAGTTGGTAACTTGATGTTGAATTTTGTTAGTGAACTGTTTTATAAGTTGAGAAGCTACCTTGTTGTAAATTTATGCACATGTTAATATGTTGATAGTGATGGTTAAGTTGAGCTTAAGATATTGTTAAATTGTACTGTTGAAGTTGTTGTATAGTTATTTATTCCTTCTATATTATGTTATTTCTTTTGAACTCAAGTTTACCGTTGCATTTTCTTGTTGTTGGATCACGTTAATCATATTTAATATGAGAGTATGGTAAAATTAGGCTAAAGGGCGAACTAGACTTTTGCTAGAGATGACGGTGTTGTTTGGCATGTTCTGACACAACTTGTAGATAGGTGTTGCTTGACTGATAACTTAAGATTTATGTTTTCAATTTGGATTATTGTAGATGTATGTATATGTACAAGATTATGTCGTTGTAGTTCCACTAAGGAAACTTTATGTTTTTCAGGTTATTGTTTCCTGTGCATATATATTGTTGCATGTATATCTAGGAACTATTTATATGGTAATCCTAGGTAATTAGATTTATGTTTTTCTCCTGCTTAGTTGTTGAGCTTTAAAGTATGGACACCTGCCAAGTCATTACAATGTCTCTTAGAGTGTGTTTGGCTAGGAAACTTAATGGAGTAATTTATTTATTTTTTGAAGAATTTCAAATGTCTAGAAATGAAATATTATGTTTGGATGGAGAATTTACAAAGAATTTGAAAATCAAGCATTTATGAAATTCCTTAAAATAATAGAATTTCAAATTCTTCCAAAAATTTAAGAGTTTGAAATTCTTCATGTTTTTCTTTCTTATTTCATCTATATATCTTTTATCTCTCTCTCTCTCTCTTATCTCTTAATTAAATTAATAAAGAATATTCTATTCTTAGTTTTGGAACGGGCCCAGAACGGCCCGTTCTGGTTCCAGATATTTTCACAAAATTTGGCGTCCACGTGATATCTACGTATGCATCTACGTGGCATCCACGTGGGCAAAAGTTAACTCCGTTTAAATAATTTGGACGGAAGTCCCAAATTGAAACCAAAAATAAAAGTGAGACTAAATTGAAACAAACAATTATTATAAGGGACCAAAATAGGATTTTAGCCAATTATTAAATATTATATAATATTAAGTTTTAAAACTATTAATTATTTAAAAATTAGCTAATATTTATTTTTATAAAATTTAATCTTAAAATCTCAATGTGTGTGTGTATAAAATCATTTTTTTCCATAATGAAAATCAAATTACCATATTCAAACTATAGAATTTAAAATTTAAAAAAATTGAATTGACTTATCCAAACAAAACATTTAAAGAATGATGAAAATTGAAATCGAAGTAATTTAAATTTTAAAAATTTTAAATTTCTTGAATTTCTAAAATTCTTCATCTAAACACATTATTCATTTTTCATCCCCCATAAAGATTTGGGTAGGTTTGATGGTGAATTTAAGGAGTCAAGGTCACTTTGGGAGGTTGAAACATACATTTGTTCCTTCAATAATTCCATTTAGTTATGTAATTCATTTTCTTTATAAAAACCTTAAATAATATCAATAGTATATCAAATTAATTACATTTTTTCAGTCAAGTTTCGTTGTCACTCAATTTTTAAAATTTTACATTTTAACACCTAACTTTTAAATTTACATATTTAGTTATCTAATTAATTGGTTGTGTGTTTCTATTAATTAACTGATCGTTGAGGTGGTACATTGACTGTTAATGTAATACGTTGATTGTTGGTGTAGTACGTTAATTACGATACATTATGTTACATAATCATTTATATGTCATATCAACAATTCACATCAATAACGAATATGTCACATCGACATTCAATTATTAGAGAGCAACAATAGAATAAAGAGATGAAAAAATGTTTTTAAAGTTTAGTAACAAATAGGTAATTTAAAAAATTAAGTGACAAAATTTACAAAATTATGAATTTGGGTTATAAAATTTATAATTAAGCCTAATATTTTTAATAAATTACTTTATAAAGACTAAACGGTTTTTAAACCAAAATTAATATTTAGTTTGATTCTCTTTAAGTAATGTTTTCTATTTGAACATATTATGAATAGGAAAAAAAATATTGAGATAACTAATTAACTTTATCATACTATAAATATTCCTAATTTAGATAAGATACTTTCTTACAAAAGATACTTATAATCTAAAAAAAAATTAAACTAATGTACCGGAACTCAAACTCCCCATTTCAAAAGATGAAAGTTAAGAGTTTGACTCCCAATCCACATCACGTTATATATAATATATATTTCATTTGCGATAATGGAGAGTATATGCAATTAAACAAAGCAATGGTTATAAAAATTCCACGTTTATGAATTAGGTTCCTCCACTCATCAAAGTGCAATTTTAAATAAATGAAACCAATAGTTCATTGAATTAGCTGGTTAAATTAATGAACCAAGGTTGATTATTAATCCCTAAACAGCTAAAGTTATTGAGCATATGATAACGTAAGGAAAGTGAGTATTATTGAGAAAACAAACAGAAGAAATAGAAGGAATATCCAAAATCCATATGCCCACAATCCACCAATTATTTATAGGTGTAGTACATGTCAACGTTGTTATTCATTTCTGCATTTTCTCCACCGTTCATGTCAAATCAATTCCATTATTTTCTTATCATAATGGGACTGATATTTGTCTACTTTATGGAAAAATAAAAATTATGTTGTTCACGTGTATCGTTTACAATGATAATAATATCTCATACAATATCTTCATGCACTGGCCAAACCCACCAATAGAAGCAATACATTTATAAGTGAATGTATAATATGATTTTTTTATTAAGAATAATTAACTAGTTAATTGAGAGTCAACAACTTTTTGTTTGAATTAGCAAAATTATTAAAAATAAGTATAATGATTTAATAAACTTATTCTTCTACATTTAACAATTCATAATTAACAAGGAAAAATATATACAACTAATTATCAAGAATTATTATTCAAGAAATATTTGGAAAATAGATATTATAATATATCCATGCAAGGGTCTCAACAACAACTAGAGAAATACAATTTTGTACAAATATATAAAGATAAACAATAATCCAAATATCAAAATAAAAATCTTAATAGTCAATCAAACCTACTATAATCAACTAACAACTACTGGACTAGTTACCCTGAGGTAGTCCAAAATCAACACTGCCAACCAACAAGGTCTCCAAAAGGCTCTGTCAGAAAACCTATTCATGCTCTCCTTTCGTATCAAATATGATAATCACAATCTAATTACATAGAAACATACAAGAGTAAGATAGTATTAATTTGAAATAATCAACAAAGAGAGTATGAAAGTAAAAGCAACTATTCTATCCACATATGCCCACTCAACTTGTTCAACACATCATCAACAACTACCATTTTCAAATACAACATATTATTAATTTGAACAACATAACATCAACACCTCAAGTTGCAACACAACAACCCCCCAATACCATTCATCACAATTCAACATTGCATATGAACAAAACTCAATCAACACATCATATGCACAACACAATAACTTTATGTATTGTCACACATTTCAATTAGAAGATCTCTCAAAACATAGATGAATAGTCTAAATGGCTTGACCCTACCGAATGAAAAACTTGGTCTTTTCAATCCAACTAGATCATTAACCTATTTGGATAAAAATTCACAACACAACATGAAATTTCTCGTATTTCGCCACTTAAACTAGAAAGTCTAGTATTCTTGTCAGGTAGAATAGTTTAGGTGTGACTCTACCACATCATTAACTAGTATAACTAAGCCACGTATGAGATTAGTCCATTGGCTACCCTTCAAATACTACACCCTTTTAGTACTTAGTTAGAAATTTTGATTCCCAACCTTGTACCTTACTCTAATTTGGTTGCTTTATACATGTATGTCTCAATCTTATCCACATATGAATCAATAGTGGTTGCTTGTAGTTGGTATGTCTCAACTTGATCCACATATCACATCAACTAAGGTCCAAGAGGAGACAACCATCTACTTCAAGGGTTAACTTCCCAAGAAGGGTTTTCAACAAATTAGGTTCTCAAAACATCATAACACACAATGTGATATGCAACTTTAAAAATAACTTCTCTTATAGTCTTAGGTCAATCAATGCAATATAAATTTAATGTCAAAACATTCTTAACACAATTACTCAACTAAACAACATATAATTTAACTCAAATTTCAACCATTAAATTAACTTATACAATATACTACACCAGTGTATAAAGATTCAACATTACGTATCAACATATGATATAAAACACAACTTAATCCTCATATAGCATGCCATAGATTCCACAAATATATACATATTCAACCTTTAAAAACACAAACAATACATATTTAAATGGTAGTCCATGTTTAGAATCACAATTTTGCTCAATCCATCTAAAACTCTACCAAAATCAAACATGCAACATAGGTATCATATATTCACATCATCCACAACTCATTTTTCAACAATAACTTCAACATGCAACTAATAAAATGATCAAATGATCAAATTCTCTTAATATGATTCATAAGAAATAAAAACCCCAACCATTTAATCAAAATCAATCAACACAACCACGAGTTTATGAAAGTAAATCAACATATGACTCAAATAATTCAACAAGAGATGCAATCTAGTTTCCCTTACCGTAAAATCACATTGGAAAAAAGGAAGAAGGAAGAAGGAAGAAGGAGGATAAGAAATCTGGGCACTTCGCACAAATGCTCCAACATTCTGATTCTCGGCTCAAAAGACTTTGAATGACCCGCTAGCTACTTAATCCATAACTTCTACAACTCCCGTGACTAAAAAGAAAAAGAAGAGGGACTTAGAACTTCATAACTCCTCTCTCTAGAATCTCTTTAAGGTTTTCCAAAAAATGAGTTTATGAAACTCAATTCTTAAAAAAAACTTTATATATTTCTCTTTTCAGAATCAAATTGGACCTCTATCTAGAGAACTCTTTAATCACCTAAACCCCATAAGAAATTACTTAATTTTAGAGTTTCTCAACAACTTAACAACAAATCAACACAATACAAATTTCAATAAAATCAATACAACTATTAAAAACGCCAATGTTATAAAAATTAAACTCTTTTTATGAGCACAAACATTTTTAATAAATTGTAGGGGCTTTAAAATATATAATTTAAATAAGTTTTAAATTTTCGATATGGTACAAAGATATAAAAATAAAATATTTTAAATGACTGCACAATTAACAAAAACGTTTACTTAATTGAACACAAGTTTAAAAAAAATGTCATGAAAAGAAAAAGACAAGTAATTATTTAAGGAAAAGGCTTTATGATTATTTTTGCCTCGCATAGTTTAATTTGTTAAATAAAAATGAAATAGCATTATTTATCAACACTACATTCGTACGTGGGAAACTAAGTTTGAATTATTGAATAAGGTTTCGAGTTTAATTTTTTTATGAAAAAAATTTGTAAATTGAAATATACTTTTTAATAGTGCTAGTAAGATTTTTCCTTTTTTATCCTTGTTATTTTGTTTTAGTCCTTACACAAAACTTGTTTTTATTTTTTTATTTTGTCATTATATTATGTGAATATTTTTCTTTTAGTCACTACTATTTTTTTTTTAAAGAACTAACGCAAAATGAAATGAACTAAATATCATATAGACTAAAATGAAAAAATAGATATGTAACATTATAATGACTTAAAATAACAATTGCTAAATTTTTTTAATTTGAATGATTTGACACTTGTGTTCTTTAACTAAAATATTGAAGGTACCACCTACAGAACTAACTCTATAAGAAAGAATTATACCTCATTATTATCAAACCAAAATAAATAACATAATTATTATAATTTAAAGAGTTTTTCTATCATGTAGAACTTTGCATAGGTTAAGAAGTATTAAATATTTATTTTTAAAGCATTTTCCCACCTAATTAATTAAGAGTCTTTGAAAAGATAAATTTCTCATTTATATTTATTTAACTACTTAATTTAAATATTTTTATTATCTTAATCATTTTAATATTATTCATTTATTTAGCTATGTCCGTCCAAAATTAACTAAAATTAATGGTAGAAACTAAAAAAAGAACATAAGAGAATTTTAAAGATCTAAAATTGATAAAAACATTTAAAAGGAATAAAACAAGACAAAACTATATTATGACAAAATAAAAAATATTTTCCAAAAGCAACCAAATATTTTAATTTTTTTTTATAAAATCTTTAAAAACTAAATTACTTTTTTTTTTTTATACATTTGTAAAATCAAATTTTGTGAAAGAAAAAGATGAAGCCCAAAAATTCCAGTGATTACGTCACATAAATCAACCTAGCTAAGCCAGCCCCACTAAAATTAGCCCACGCACAGGAAAGCCTATCTGAATCTTAAAAAAAAAAACAGAAAAAAAAAACCTATCTAAACATCATTCAACGAAGATAATCACTAAGATTAACCTAATAATTAGGTACAAAAGGATTAAGATAGTTAGAAGCATAAAAATCATTTAATTCTCATTATGATTATCTTTATAATCTTTTCTCTTTTAAAAAAAATAAATAAATTCAACGAAGGTAATCTCATGAAGCTTGTAAAGGTTAAAAGATTTAAGTTCTTCTTTTCCTTGGTATAAACATCTAAGTTTTCGTTAGTTGAAAATATGCACTTTTTTATTATTTTTTTATATCTAGGAATATGAGAGAATACAATATTCAATTCCTTTCCTCTCAACTAGACTAAAATTAATTGATTTTAGTTTAATATTTTTTTAATGTTTAGTTTGATGTTTCACAAACTTAAATTAGTTCGGTTGAATTTTGAATATTTCTATTTTGCTTCCAAATTTGAAATGTTGGGTCGATTACTCGATTTGATCGTGTCTGTGTTTTTTAGCTTTAAAAATATTTATAAAATGATTAACTAAAAAATAAGTGTGGAAAAGAAAACATGATAGTGCTAGAAATAATATGAGAAGTAAAAAGCTTATAGTAGATAAATATATAAAATAGTTTAACATATTCTAGCTTGTAATTTTTAAAACCAAAAAAAGATAGATTTTTTTTTAAAGAATCGAATTTTATTTTATTATTTTACATCATATATATAATTAAAATGCTTAATAAATAAATATATTTTAATATATAGATTATATTTTAAATTTATCTTGATGATTTAATTTTTTTTAATCATAATATTAATGTGAAATATCTACTAATATTTGTTGATATATTAATGTGACTAAGACATTCTATGTTGATATGAGATGTGACATAGGTCTCATCGACATAAAATATTTGCAAATTCTATGATGGATTAACACATGACATAGAAAGTTAATTTTCTATATCGTGTGGTCAACACCAGTCATAATAAGGGTACGAAATGTGATATTTTAACACATTAACATCCACATTTTATGATGCGTGTAACTTTATTTGTTATAGAATGTGCACCTTCTATGATAGGTGAGACATTACTCGTCATAAACTGTGCACTTTTTTTTATCTTGTTTGTTTTATGAATTTTTCAAAACCTATACAATAGAAATACATTTCAGGTAATACAAAACAACATATTGTTATTCAATTCAATACAAACCTATATAAAATATAATATCTATCATTTAAATTCAAACAAAGTACAAATTAAACTACATAGCAAACTAAGAGAGTTAAAAATAAAGTTAAACATTAATCAATATACAATTAATTAATAACAATGAACAATTATTATAACCATGTACTAATGTTATCAAATAACAATGAATATAAAGTAAACTAGCCAATATACAAAAATAAAACTAAATCAATGTACAAAAACATAAGAACAACAAGAAATATAATTGATCAAAATCTTATCAAATTTAAAATGGGACTTAATCTCTCTCTTTATATATCACTCAACTATAAAAATATATATCTTTTCAAACTGTCCAAACGAATAGTTCAAGATTCAATAAGATGATTATATATTAATTGTATAACCATTGTATTCAATCTCAAATGAGAAACTAAGTTTAACTCACAATTGATCAGTATTTCTAACAATTATAATATAACACTTCGAGATAATTAAACATATAATTATGCTTATTTAAAACTCATATAAAATCAACAATATAATATACACATGTAATTAACCATGTCAACACAACAAAAATTAAATTAATAATAATTAAAGTATTCATTTAATTATTACTAACTTAAAGTGTAATAAAAAATATATTTTAATTAAAAATTTTAATTTTTAATCTACATCTTCTAAATTGACCAATATCAATAAAATAATATAGTTTTAATTTAAATTCTTATTGTCTAACATTGCATAACTAACAATTTATATTTGATTATACTAACATAAATTTAGTAATTATCATAAAAGTCTAAAATTATGGGTACCTAAAAGATTTTTAAATTAATGTCCAATATTGCATATATACGTATCTAACATTTTTTTTTAATTTTTTTATTTATATCATAATTTAAAAGGATATTATAAAAATTGCCTAATTTAGTACTTTCTAATTTTTACATTTTAACTAACTTAAGATTGTCTATAATTTTACCAACTATCTAAATTGACTAATAATGTTGTCATCTATATCATTATATATGCGTGCCCCAAAGGAAGGAGCAAATAAGTAAACAATGAGCAAAGCCAAAATGAGCAAATAGGTAAACAATGAGCAAACAGGTAATCAATGAGCAAATCCAAAATGATCAAATAGATAATGAGCAAACCCACATTTAGAATAATATGATATTATCCACTACAAACACTAAAAATCATGGAAGAGGGAGAAGAAAATATTCAAAACTAGGAGAACATGCGAAGGAGAACTAGAGAAGAAGGTTGTCAGAGTGAAGCAAAAGTGGACTAGAAGTAGTCGTCAAAATATTTTCATCATGGTGGTCACTAAAACAAGTGGGAAGCCTACACGGAAGAGTCGTCAGAAACTATCGTTGCATAAAGAAAAAAATGAAATAGTGGAGTTTGCACTCGCATCGTGAATAATAACAAGACATTCTATTACAAGTTATGATTTACTTATCATAGAATATTTTGACATATTTACAAATATGTCATCGCATTTCTTACTATATTGTGTGGATAACACCCGATATAGAAAGTGCATCAAGAAGTCATCTTTTAATTTTTCAATAATGATAACTAATTTTTTGTCAATAAATTTAAATTATGATCTAAAATTATTTTTACCTATTAACAATTTATTTTAAAATATTAAAATTTAATTAATAATAATATAATAGAAGATATATTAAAAGAGATGAATAACTTAGAAGATCAAATATATAGGAAACAAATGATATGGTTTGAAATGAACAAGAGAAAAAACATTTTCGGTAGTGAAAGACAGTAATATTAAAACGCATATTAAAAGAGAGATCAGAAAATAAGAAGTAGGGAGAGAAAAAAAAAACTATTTTTTTTAAATTATGTATTCTAATTTATAATATATGAAAGATTTTCAAAAGTTACTCTCATAATTTTTTTAAATAGAAAATGGGTTTTTAAAATAAGAAACAAATAGATCCCAACATAATGGAAGACTCTAGTAGGCAGGTTTGTAAATAATTTGTCTAGTTTCCATTGCATAGGGATAGGGTCACATTGGAGGTGAAAGGGAGGTCTTATTGATGATAATTGCTGTGATATGGATAATCTTGTACCATTTGAGAAAGATTGGGATAAAGTTGTTGGGCAATCTGGGTCACTATAAGTTTGAGTACATATGTGCAGTGTTTTTTTGATGGTTTATATGGAGACAAAAAGTGGGAGTGAATAGTGATGGTGAGTTAGTGGTGTATGGATTTTACAGCTCGGCCATTACTAAGGAATACTATTCCACCATCACTAAACACATTTAGCTGTCAATGCACTTTATGCTTCATGTCCATCGCCTCTATCCACCAAATAAAATAAATAAATAAATGTTATGTCATTGAAAAATAATTATATATATATAAAAGGAAGGATTCGTTTATTTCAAGGGGTAAGTTTATC